CTGCACTTTTCAAACTCCAGCCTGTTAATAAACCAGATGGTCATCAATTGCGTAGCCTACTCGACAAGGCAACCGCAATGTACAGCTCACTGTCATCGCTAGGCTCCGGATCAACTATCGCACAGGCTATGTTAATTTATATTGTTATAGAAAAGTGTGATCAACAAACACGCAATAAATGGAACGAAGCACTGAATTTGAATTCATTGCCCACCTGGGAACAATGCTCGCAAGTACTCGAACGGCACTGCCAGTTCCTGCAATCTAGTGGAACTACGCTGCACTTAAAGTCGGAACCTGCAAGGTTACTATCTAACGCCAAGCAAGGTCAACGCTTACAATCAACGTTTGCCATTTCTAAGGCGCACTGCGCTTTATGTTCAAATTCGGAACATAAACTTGCAGAGTGCTCACAATTCAAAGGTATGAGTACCACCAACAGATTTGATTTCATTAAAAAATGTGGACTTTGTATTAATTGTTTGGGTACTGGTCATCGAATGGCACAGTGCCCTTCGAAGCATCGATGTCGAAGTTGCAGCCGTTCGCACCATACATTGCTTCACAATGAGAGACCACCGCCGTCTCAACAGCCATCCATATCGAATTCGTCGACAACGTCGTCATCATCGCAACCTGTCGCTGCCATCACGCATTCTCATAGCAATCTGTCGCAAGCCGGCAATGTCATTTTAGCAACCGCCATGATTCTCGTGAAAGATTCTTCGGGCACGTACAAGGTAGGCAGAGCATTGCTGGATTCGTGTTCGCAGGTTAACTTCATATCAGAAGAGTTTGCCCAGAAGCTTCGCCTTCATCGAGACAAGCAACACGTTGAAATTCGCAGTATTGGCGACTCACGCACCAGCATCAACTTCTGCGCCACTACTACTATCAAATCCCGATTAACTTCGTTTGAACTCTCGTTGCAATTTTGTATTACGCCACACATTGCGTATCAACCCGATTGTGAAATTGACACTTCGCAGTGGAATTTACCAGCTAATACTCCACCAGCTGATGAATCGTTCAACAAATCACGTCGTGTTGACCTTTTACTTGGTACGGAAACATTTTTCGATCTGCTATCTGTTGGGCAAATAAAGTTAGGGGCAAACATACCCACCCTTCAAAAAACGTTGCTCGGATGGGTGGTGTCCGGCAGATACCAGAACCATCAAGCCGCTCTACGTAATGCATGTATGTTGTTATACAACGTGTCCATCGACACAAACCTGAAACGCTTGTGGACCATCGACGCTGTTGATACGCCAAGCGATCCTCTTCAGCCTGAGCAGCGATTGTGCGAGGAGTACTACTCAAAACCAACATATCAGCTCCCCAATGGTCGTCTTGTAGTCAGCTTACCATTTAAACAAGCAGCTGACTGCCTCGGTAACTCCATAGATATTGCTCGTCGCCGATTCCTTGGGTTGGAACGTAGACTTCTACAGTCGCCTGAGTTACGTTCGCAGTATATTGCATTCATGCAGGAGTATGAAGATCTTGGCCATATGAGACGAGTGACAGAACCAAAGGTAAATAGTCCTCACTATTATATTCCCCATCATTGTGTTTTAAAGCCAGCTAGCGTGTCAACAAAACTGAGGGTTGTGTTCGATGCGTCATGTCGCACATCATCGCAATCCTCTTTAAACGATCTGCTCTTAGTTGGCCCATCGCTTCAAGATGACTTGTTCATACAGCTGCTCCGATTTCGCCAATTTCGCTTTGCATTGACCGCAGACGTAACTAAAATGTATCGGCAGGTGCTGATACGGCCTAGTGAACGAAGATATCAATATATTCTCTGGAGAACATCACCCGATGACGAATTGCAAACATATGAGTTGAATACAGTCACTTACGGCACAGCGTCGGCTCCATACTTGGCAGTTCGTAGTCTGCACTATTTGGCTGATTTATATAAGGAAGAGCTGCCGCTGGGGTCTTCAATAGTCAAATCGTCATTTTATGTGGACGATTTATTGTGCGGAGCTAATGACATTGAGTCGTTACGTGCAATTAAAGCAGAAGTCACAGAAATACTTCGTCGCGGAATGTTCCCACTAACAAAGTGGCATTCTAACCACCCCCATATTGTTGAAGTTCAAGGCTGTAAGGAATTGGATATTCGTGAAGATGCAGTATCTAGTGCACTAGGTACAACTTGGAACCAAGAAAGCGATATGTTTCTTTTTACATTCACTCCTAAAGCAAACAGTAACAAGGTAACAAAGAGAAGTATTCTGTCTATTGCATCGTCATTATTTGATCCGCTTGGCCTGCTTTCGCCGCTAATCATCGTTGCAAAGATTATTCTCCAAGAGCTTTGGCTCCTAAAGATCGACTGGGATGAGTCCCTCCCACAAGCACTTCAGCAAGCATGGTTAAACTGCTTGTCATCGCTCACTTCTCTTTCCTCACTGACTGTACCCCGCTACTGCCTGCAAGCTGAATACAGGGAAATACAGTTACATGGTTTCTGTGATGCTTCTCTTCGCGCATATGGCTGCTGCTTTTATGTGCGTACTGAAACCAGAAGAGGTGACGTTAACATTCAGCTGCTCACCGCGAAGTCTCGCGTCGCTCCAGTGAAGAAACAGTCTCTTCCAAAACTTGAGCTTTGTGGTCCTCATTTACTAAGCAAGCTCTATGCGAAAATTAAGCACCTTTTCAACGATAAACAGTTAAAACTATTCTTTTGGTCAGACTCGCAAATTGTGTTGCATTGGCTTCAGCAGCACTCTGCAACGTTATCAACTTTTGTCGGAAACAGGGTGTCAGACATTCAAGAATTAACTATCGGTGGCCAATGGAATCATGTTCCAACAAAGAGCAATCCTGCTGATATCGTTTCACGGGGCTGTACAACGACAGAGCTTCAGTCGTCAATATGGTTCTCTGGTCCAACTTTCTTACATGACAACGCGAACAAGTGGCCGCTGCAAAACCAGAACCAACTCGATATGGCAGTCGTAAATAGTGAGAGACGCAAAACTGCATTCACTGTTGCGGTGGAAATCAACCCGCTTATAACAGCAATCAACAAATTTAGTTCATACAATCGCTGCCTCCGTGTCGTCGCATATATGTTTCGATTTTCGAAAGCATGCAGAAAGCTAAGAAAATTCGATTCTCAGTCGCCGTCTCCAGAAGAACTGTCGCATGCTATGCACTGCATCGTATGGAATTTACAGCAACAACATTTCCAAGAAGATTTTCGTCTGCTGCAAAAGTATAAACTAACAAAGGGTAATTTAAAATATTTGAGTCCATTTTTAGATGATTCGTCGGGATTTGCACTCATCAAGGTTGGCGGAAGACTAGAAAATGCTAACATTCCCTCCTGTCAGAAACAGCCTCTACTACTACCACGAGACTCAGAATTCGTAAACAATTATTTCCGCCACCTCCATGTACGGAATTACCATGCCGGTCCGAAAGCTTTGGTAGCGTTACTGAGGTTACAGTTTTGGGTCGTTAATGCCAGAGATGTAGCGCGCCATATTGTTCGATCTTGTGTGCACTGTGTTCGGTACCGTCCAACTCTACAGCGTCAAATAATGGGAAACTTGCCAGCAGTGCGCTTAACCGCCGACAAGCCGTTCAGAAATGTTGGTATTGATTTCTGTGGTCCCATTGACACATACCTTCGCATACGTGGCACGGGTCCTACAAAATCATACATAGCCATATTTGTTTGCATGGTGTTCAAGGCAGCTCACATTGAAGTCGTGTCAGACTTGTCCACTGATAAGTTTTTGGAGGCTCTGAAACGTATGGTTGCCCGGCGAGGGCGAGTCTCAAATATCTATTGTGATAACGCCACTAACTTTGTTGGAGCATGCAATAAACTACGCGAATTAAAAAAGTTTATGTTTAGTGACGACACACAAGCTGCCATTCAAGCGTATTGTTCACCAGAGGAAATACGCTTTCATTTCATACCGCCTAGAGCACCACATTTCGGTGGGCTATGGGAAGCGGCGGTGAAGAGTGCCAAAGGTCTATTGGGGCGCTCCTTGAGAAACACCAGATTTACATTCGAAGAACTTAATACTATAATAAATAGAAGCAGTTCTAAACTCGCGTCCTGTGACACCATTGTCTTCCGACCCAAATGATTTTTGCGCTCTAACCGCAGGTCATTTTCTAACTGGTGATTCTTTACGCGCATTACCAGAGAAGCAAATTGACACTAGCAATATCAGCAATCTAGACAAATATAACCAAATCGTAGCAGTAAAGCAACAGTTTTGGCGAAGATGGTCGGCTGAATATTTTAATGAACTACGCGGTCGGTCAAAGTGGACATCCGAATCACCGAATCTTGCGATAGAAGCAATGGTACTGATACATGAGGATAATATTCCGCCTCTCCGTTGGAAGCTTGGACGTGTTGAATCCGTCGTTAGCGGAAGGGACAATCGAGTTCGTGTTGTACATGTTCGCACCGCCACTAGAGTTTGCTGTCGTCCAGTACACAAGCTTGCATTATTGCCGGTGTCTTGAAAGATGGTTCTTTCAACGGGCCCGGGATGTCTGGCCACACTACGCCAACATTAACATTCTAGTTTGTAAGCAACTCTGTAAACGTACATTTACCTACTGTTCTCCAACCTGAGCTTTCTTAATGTTATGTAAAATGAGCTAATGTAACATTTTGCCTTATCACATTTTCCTTTCCCAAATAAAGTTAGTCGTCAAGAAGCAATCAGGAGTTGAAGTCTTTTAGCTAGCGTCGTTCGTGTATAGCTTCACACACCCCGCGCTACATATATATAAGAACTGGTCGTAATAAATCAGGAAAAAGCTTCTGGGCTGGGCAGAAATCGGCCCACATTTTCCAGCAAAATTGGCTGTTCTAGCGAATGAGTGTAGCCATCTACGCCACGTCGATTCCAGGAATGTTTGACACCGTTTCTCATTCCACGCTACTAGAAGACATTGAGGCTACCTCTCTTTCACAGGGACCCAAACGGTGGTCGGTCGTCAGTCGTCAGTCTCAGTCAGGATGAAACCTCAAAACCTAGAAGAATTAAACAAGGGGTTCTTCAGGGTGGTGTCCTCTTCGCCTTACCGTTTATAACGTTGTAACGTTTATTTGTATGTAGGTGATGTAAATCCAGCTTAAAATCGACCTTATATCAGTTTTTTTAATTTTGTACTCTGTAAGAACATCCTGTTGATAGACTTCATAAACAAATAAATAAAAATAGAACGCAAGCGAGATTTGCTAGCATGTGAAGACGGCCGGTTATAATTCAATAGCTTGGGTAAAAAAGTACTCCAATGAAAACTTTTTCTTTATTAAACCTCATTGCTTATAAAGACAAGCATAATTAATTTTCTACAAAAAAAAATTGATTTGCTTAAAAAAGATTTACATACAAATCCGTGAATTTCTTTTTGCCAGCAAACCATTTTTACTGCTGGCAATGATGAGAATGTGCTGACATTTCGCTGAATACAGTGATGTTCACGAAACGTCAAAGCAATGTGCGAAATGTCAACCCGTTTCTCTTTCTCTATATCCGGTCAGCCATAAGACCTGTAAGTGGAATTTGTGCTTGTAGTGAAATTTAATCGAAAAAATCATGTGAAATATTAAGAAATCGCAGCGAATCGAGCAAATGAAATGATAAACAAACCAGCAAATTATACGATAGTTAATATATTGTAACGCACTTTCCTAATATAAATGCTGAAAAAGTGTGTCAAAGTTGGCCAAATTTTTCACGG